AACCGGCAGGAAGAAGGGGACGAGGAGGAAGTGACCTCACCTACTGGAGATACCTACTTTGCTATCGGCGGTAGCCCTACACCAGTACCACCGATAGAGACTACGGATGGACGGGATGAAACCCAGGACCCCATTTGGGAACCCGCAAGACGGCAGGAGATTCAGCCAACTACTAATGAAAGTGCGGACACAATGGAAGAATCTAGGACTAGATATTGGCTGCGCAGTAGGCCGGCGGAGACCCCGATAGTGTGCGACAGCCCTCCCTCGCCAACGGTAGAAGGACTAGCTGATACCGAGGCGACGGAAGCCGAACCGCCCACTAGCCCAGTAGTCGAAGTAGTAGAGGAGAGAAGAGGGGAGAATAGTGGCACAGCACCCCCGAGATATAATTTTCGCCCACTTCCAGGACGAAAGATTTAATTAATTTTCCCAAAGTATACAAAGTTTTGTTTAATTTCAGGTGTAATCGCAGAGATAGGAACCATCCCAGATTTGGACAAGGGACTTGTATTTCTCCGAGAACGGGAACTATTAGTTACTGGAAACTATTGGAATCTGGTGATAAATCTGGATGTCCAGTGGTACCAAACTGCCCTGCAGTACATCGAGCAAGTTTTCACTCATTTAGAATGGAGCCGGAGTCAACGTGCCCAACAAAACAAATTCATAAATTGGGAAGAAGTGGAACAGGCACGCGTTGCCGTGGATCAAGTAAATCAGGAGCTACGTACCCTTTCCAAGTTGTTACCCGTTCCGACGGATGCTGATTTAACCCCCCGACGGAAAAGAGGATCAATTAATATAGGAGGGGAAGCCCTTAAAATCTTGTTTGGGATAGCAACCACTCAGCAATTGCAGGAAGTGCATGACACGGTGGAAGGCATTAAAACAAGGGAAGGTGACGTCATTCATGCAGTTCAGAAACAGTTAACTTATCTTAAATCAGTAGATAAAACAGTTTCCCAGAATGCAGTTGACTAGCAGCAGTGGCCCGCATTCTTAAAAATGTTGTTAGTAACGCCTTGAAAAATAAGAAAACTTGGAATAATACTACTAGAAATTTAGAAAATTTGATAAGTTACAGAGCAAATATTTCACGCGTTATGCGCGAATTGGACTTTATGGTTGTACAATTGCAACAATCCGTGATGCGCTTACAGGAAGGGTTAGAAACTAGCGCCACGGGAAGGTTATCTTCAGTTTTAATTCCCCCACATAACTTATCAATGATTTTGCAGCAAGTAATTTTGAAGTTACCACAGGATGTTTCATTGATTGCTGGATTTACTATTGACAATATGTATATTTACTATGAAGTTGCAAAAGTGCAGGCTTATGCCACGACGACCGCCATTCGACTCGTAGTGCGAATTCCTTTACGAGGTGCAGATCGAGTCATGACCCTTTTTAGGAGTGTACCCCTACCAGCTTATTCCGAGGTATTAAAGAGACATGTTCAGATAGAACCAGAAACATTGTACCTGGCAGTGACCGAGAATGGGCAATACTACTCACTTTTAACGACGGCAGACTTACAGCGATGCAAACTTGGCATATTTGCCATTTGTGAAGCCACCTTTCCATTCATACATAAGACTCGAGCATCTTGCTCTTCAGCTTTGTATTTCGGTCAGGCAGAATTCGCCCATGACCTTTGTCGAAAGCATATTCTTAATGAAAACTTTAATCCTGTATGGCTTCAAGCTAAGGGGCCTCACCCCTTTTGGATATATAGTCTGCCCTCGCCAACAGTTGTTACAAAGAAATGTAAAGTAAATGGAACTACTCAGAGTTCTAATTTGGAATTGTCCCATACTGGCACGTTAACGGAAGATACACACTGTCAATTTTACTCGGAAGCTTTTGTTTTGTTACCGGTATCGGATGGATACACCAACGTGACGATCACCGGCAGTCAGATATTCCTACCCCACCTGCCCGAGCTGATATCGCCCGGAGAGCGCGACCAGATTATGCTCGATGAGACACAAACACATTGAGCGCTGGCGGCCTTGGAAACCATCGCCAGGCGGAGCTCACCTAACCAGCAGCAGTCGTACGTGGAACTACGAGAACTATTGGCAAACATGGCCAGTAATACAACGACTACCAGTCAAACCACCTGGGTATATGCACTAGTAACCATCAGCATTATAGTATCCCTGATTATCCTCACCTCCAGACTTTGGCAACGACCAATCATAACACTGATCCAAAAGATTTTCCCACGCCGAACTGAGCCAAAATCCAACGACATAGGAATGAAACCTATGTCCACACCCACCACAACAGCCATTGACCCAGAACCCAACGATTGTCCGTGCTGTACGGAAGATGGCAGCGAGCTCATGGGAGTGACGACGTCACATCCTGCTACTCCACTACAGATGGAAGTGGAGACTGCAAGCAAACCAACACCCACGGTCCAGCCAAGGACAGGGGAACGTGTAAATTTCGCTCAACCCGGCAAGTTCAGCTCCGGAAATGATGGAGGCAGAGCTCATCGCCGGAAGTAACAGCGATAAGCTGCCAGCAGAACAGTGTGTGCCAACGATAATGCAACCAAGAGTACAGTTAGGCTCATGAATTCTAAAGCGTAATTACAACTAACACCACAGAAGTGTGAAAGACCACAAACAGGGTAAAGTGAGCGACATGTGTAACACAGTTGATTAGATTCAACAAGGAGAAAAGAAAAACAATGTAAGAAAGACATAAGTGCTACAGAATGTATTATTTTGTTTACAAATTGTTTTGCATTTCAGGTGTACCCACTTAAGCATCTCTATAATGATGCACTGTAATGATTTAATTATTGTATCATGTATTCTTAACTTGATATTCTCATTGGACAATAACTGTATACTGTAAGAGTAAGAGAGAAAACATTTTATTATGGATACTTAGAAAAAAAAAGGTATATACATACTAGAGGACTAGGATAACCCTAAGTTGTAAGCCCAACTTTGGTGAAATTATGACTTCCATTTGAGGGAAGGGCAATGTTGTGCCCCGGCACTAGATGCCAGAGATATATTTTGTATTATCATTAATTTTAGTTCATTTGTAATAAAAAGGGAAAGAACAGTCACAGGATGATGAACCGGAAGTTGAATGAGATCAGACTCACGAGTGTGCGGTATCCGGTAGGCAGCCATTTTATGATGCATCGGTTAGAGAATTACGCACGTACACCAGTGACCATATATGGGCAAGTGTCGAAACGGCAAGAGACGAACGCCAATGGGAAAAGACTATTCTAGGGCGTTTCCACGCGTGGGTAGTACTCGAGCGTCGCATAAAGACTTATAAAAGCTCGAGACGCGAGTGAAGAAAAAGGAGACTTTGGGCGTAGTTGATGCTACCGAACTCTGTGACAGTGCCGACCATGAAGGGACCAGCCAGAGCCGCCATTCTATGTCTACTATGCTGTTCAAGTGAGTACTTGCTTCTTGTCGGGACACTGTCAGTAACAAACTAGAACACTCAGAACTGTGAACTGAAGGACTAAATGAGTAGGACTCCGTTCAGGAGGAGGCGATAGGCCAAAGAATGAATATCATGTACTGTAAGTTGTAGTCAGATTTATTTTCATGTATTAATTAGCCCTTAGACAGAGAGAGAGAGAGAGTTAAGTAATATATCCTCAATGTATTTTGTACTTGTGTGTTTCATTTACCCGGCACCTCCCAAGCCCGGTAAGAGCTATCCACGTGCCCATTAGGGGTCGGCGCTACCCCAACCCCTTGGGGCACAACAGTACGCTGTGACGAGTGGCATCCGCATGCTTCTCCTGTTCCAAAGTAATTAAAATATTGTGAATTTTTGGTTAGATGCCGCTAATTAAATGTATGTTATTTCCGTTGTGATCTTAAACGAAAAAACCCCCAAGCAATTAAAGGTATTATTAGTACGTTGTACATTTATCACAACGGCAGTGACACGTAATAAGTTTCACATTGTCATTTAAGCGGTCTGACGTCGCTAGTTATATAAAAGTTTTATCTAGTGTGATGTCTGGGACAAAAGAACCAGGATCGAAAATGTAACCTCAATTTAAAGACACTCGCATAGGCACTTTAACATGCCGCCGCCGCCCCCGCCGCCCCTTGCTGGAGCTAGACAAGTTGGATATTTAGCTTTATCTATTTTAAAGGCCTATCAAGATAATCGGTATGTATGAACAAGCAGTCGGACCATCATAGCTATCCGAATATGCGACCGACTGGATTATCTATTTATTTATTTTTATTTTATTTTTATTTTTTGTGGCGCGACAGCCACAATTTGGGCCTAGGCCTACCTCCATGAAACTCTCCGTTTCACTTCGGTTTACTAGATCTTACACATGCGGTAGGACTCCTTGGGCGATTGATCAGCTCGTCGCAAGGCCTCTACCTGTAGACAAACACAGAAAAGCGCACACAAACATCCACGCCCTGAGTGGGATTCGAACCCAAGATCCCGGCTTCCGAGCGAGTGAAGACAGTGCATGCCTTAGACCGCTCGGCTACCGTGACCGGCATTTGTGTATTTATAGTTTATTTAATAATGCTGTCAGTATGCAGTATAGCATTGAATGGTAGGACGATAAGTGAGTGAAGAATTGGAAAGCTGTGTAAAGAAAAAGCTCAATGGCGTGACTATAAGAGGGCTATTCGGAAAGTAACTTCCGGTGAGCTGTTAACAGAGCAAACGACGAGAAAGAAATGTTTTACACGGAAAATATGTACATACTTAGGCCACTTCTCATTGTAGTCACAACCGAAACTGAGGCATTTATGTCAGGGAATAACTTTTGTATACCTATGTCAAAGAAGTACTAAAGATAGGAAACAGATGTTTTGAAAATGTGGCAAAATTCAGATATTTGGGAACAACGATAACAGATCGAAACCTGATTCAGGAGGAAATTAAGAGGCGATTGAACTCGGGTAATGCTTGCTACCATTCAGTCCAGAACCTTTTGTCTTCTCGTCTGTTGTCCAAAAACATAAAAATTAAAATATACAAAACTATAATTTTGCCTGTGGTTCTGTAGGGGTGTGAAACTTGGTCTCTGACATTAAGGGAGGAACATAGACTGAGAGTGTTTGAGAGCAGGATGTTGAGAATATTTGAACCGAAGAGGGTTGAAGTGACAGGAGGTACGAGAAAACTGCATAATGGGGAGCTTCATAACTTGTACCCTTCTCAAAGTATAATTAGAATGATACAAGTCAAGGAGGATGAGGTGGGCAGGTCATGTAGCCCGAATGGGGGAGACGATGAATGCGTATAGGATATTGGTGGGAAAGCCGGAAGGAAAGAGACCACAGGGAAGACCAAGGCGTAGGTGGGTGGACAATATTAAAATGGATCTTAGAGAGATAGGGTGTAATGGTATAGATTGGATAGATCTGGCTCAGGATAGGGACCAGAGGAGGGCTCTTGTGAACACGGTGATGAACCTTCCGGTTCCATAAAATGCTGGGAAAATCTTGAGTAGTTGCAGAATTCGCGGCTCCTCCAGAAGAGCTGGGCTCCAGTAGTAAGTAAGATGTCAAAGAAGTCTGCCGCCTGCGAGCTTAACCACATTTTGACATCTTCCATCAAGTCGTTATTTTTGAAGCGCTGTGATCGCAACCAGTTCTTCAGGTAGGTAAACAGGTGGTAGTCGCTCAGAGTGAGATCAGGGCTGTAAGAAATTCGTCAAACAACTCCCAGTTGAAATTCTCCAGCAGTGCTCGAGTGCCAGCAGCTCTATGCGGACACGCATTGTCATCGAGGAACACTATACCGGATGTCAACACTTCACGCCTTTTTTTCTGAATGGCCCTAAGCAGTTTTTAGTTTTTCGAAATACACTTTTGGCGTTATTATGGCTCCTTGTTGAATGAATTACACTATCATCACTCCTTTCCTGTCCCAGAAAATAGATGCCATCAGCTTTCTGGCAGACAACGTTTGTTTAAAGAGTTTCGGCTTATTTGGTGCACGTGTGTACGTCCACTGATTTGCTGCTCTTTGGTTTTAGCATTCATAAATGAGATCCAGGTTTCATCACCTGTTACACGTACAATGTTATTGAGAAATTCATTGCCATCTTTGTGATATGAAGCCATTCTCTACGTTTTATGCGCATCCATGAGAATTTTCTGAATCCATCTTGCTCAAAACATGCGGTATCTTAGCCTAAAAGTAATAATCTTATAGAGAAGAGTGCGTGAAATTTATAGAAATTCCCACAAAAGTTCCAAAATTGTGAAACGAAATCTTTCACAAAATTTTAGGTCAACACTTTGAAAAAGATCTTCGCTTACTACAGGTGACCGAACACTTCGCTCTTCATCGTGAACATTTGTTTGCCCATTTTGCAACATTCTACACCATTGTCTTAGAGTTTGCCGTAAATTGCGCATAATACACGGTAGATTTCCTCGGCACTCATGTTTTAGCGTGAAGAAAGCAGATAATTAAGGGACTTTCCCAGTTTGGCGGGATTATCATTCACAAGGACGCATCATAATCCACTCTGTTGAGATAACAAACATTAGGTAACCAGTCATGTGCCGGTTTACAAGGCAGTGAGTCATGTGACGGTACCTTCTATGCTCGAGCTCTCCCCCGTTCGTACATTAGTTGCTTAAAATAAGTGGAGGTTACTATCCGAATAGCCCTCGTATTTACTATTCGGACATTTACCAGGAGTGACTGAAGAAAACCACAAAACCCCCAGAATGTCGGTGTCCTGGCAGAGATTCAAATCGGGCTCCTGCTGAATACCAGTTAGAAGCATTACTCTTTCGGTCATGTTTCTCAGTCAGCGGAATTACCAGTAAGAAGCTTCTCAATATAGAATTTAACGCATCTGTATTCTCACAGTGTGTAGGCCTGTGACGTACACCATATTGAAGGGAATCTGTTAAACTGTTTTCCCCTTCGATGGCGGCAATACCAGATTCCTGATGTTTTACTCAAGGAACCTTTCGCAATAACCCTCTCTCATCGCTCACAGGCTTCCTGCTATTGCATTGCGGGACATGCAAGATTGGTATATTTTCGCCTTCCTCTTCGTCTGTATTGCCACAGCTGGACGTTTAGAGGATCATTAAATTCCGAGTCTGATAAATAAATTATACCAGGAGTTTAGTTACCTCTCCTAACCTTGCAGAGGAC